GTTTCATTCCCAGCTCCAGTCCTGATTCTGGCTTCCTGCTAATGCACATACTGCTCAAGTGGTTGGGTCTGTACCATCTAAGTGGGGAACATGGATTGTGTTCTTGACTCTCAGCTTTGGCCCTGCCCTGACTGTTGCAAGCATTTAGAGAGTAAATCAGCAGATGGGAGTGTTCTCTTGAACACTTGTGCATGCTTTCTCCACCTCCATCTCTCTCCTTCTCCCTCCTCTGTCTCCTCCCTTCCTCCTCCCATCCCTCTCAAATAAATATATACACATTTGAATAGCTGCTATGGATACTGATTCTACAGGTTGCCAGAACCACAGGGATGGATATGCCAACACCCCTGTACTTGGTGAACTTCGGGGCACTTTTATGGTGCCTTTGTAGCTGCTACTATGCTTGAACACATGAAGGCAGGGCAACCATCAGAATGGTAAATAAATGGATGTGTCCTTCTTCTCCTCTCCTTTAGTGACTGCTTTGAGTCTCTGAGATATTTATTTCCAAGACATAATGAGGGCTCTCTCATTCAAATAGCCCTACTAATTAATACATGAAGAAAGTCTCTTTTCTCGGCCGGCGCCGTGGCTCAATAGGCTAATCCTCCGCCTAGCGGCGCCGGCACACCGGGTTCTAGTCCCGGTCGGGGTGCCGGATTCTGTCCCGGTTGCCCCTCTTCCAGGCCAGCTCTCTGCTGTGGCCAGGGAGTGCAGTGGAGGATGGCCCAGGTGCTTGGGCCCTGCACCCCATGGGAGACCAGGAAAAGCACCTGGCTCCTGGCTCCTGCCATCGGATCAGCGCGGTGCGCCGGCCGCAGCACACCGGCCGCGGCAGCCATTGGAGGGTGAACCAACGGCAAAGGAAGACCTTTCTCTCTGTCTCTCTCTCTCACTGTCCACTCTGCCTGTCGAGTGTAGAATCAAAAGAAAATGCTCTAACAAAAAAAAAAAAAAAAAAAAAAGGAAAGTCTCTTTTCTCAAAATGACTATATAAAACATGCAGTAATGACTTAATTATAATCTCCAGAAGCTATAATGATGAAAGACCAAAAATGTAGATATATTGACCTCCCATTCACTAACACCCTTTAAAATGGCAATTCTTAGTTGGAATCAGACACCTTTTCTTGAGGGCAAGGTCAGCAAGGCACCATATGATGATCCTAGACATTGAAGGAACTGTAAAGCTATGTAAGATGCAGTCCCAACTCCCAAACCACTTCTGGCACAGTAATGGTGGGCACGGTGTTTGTGGTGGAGGGACGAACTGAAGGAGGTACACGGTGTGTAAACTAAGATTGTACCAAGTGACTAGAAGCTTAGTGGCAGCAAAGGTCACAGGAGAGTCACCGCAGCGGTCAGGGAAGCACTGTTTGTTAGCATACTGTAGCTACTACTACAAAACTAGTCCCCACTGTAAAGTAGCTCAGCACAGCAGGTTATTTATCAAGCACCAAAAGTTAAAACTATGCATTCCTGATTGGCAGTTGACGCCACTCCCAATGGTGAATCAGAACTCTAGATCCTTCTATCTTACGGACCAGCCATCTTCAACACACAGCTTCTAGATTGCTGGGCTGGTCCATATCAAGTGGGCAGAAGAAGAAAGAACTTGTAGGATGGGTAGTTTTTCTAGCCAGATGAGAAAGAGGAGTTCCATTGGCTAGAACTAGGTCACATTGTCATAGCTAATTGTGAGAGATATTGAGAAGTAGTGTCCAGATGTGTGTCCAGAAAAATGAGACGATTTGTTGGCCACTTAGGAGTCTTCACCATTGTATATGCCGTGATCCCCTCTAAAATTCATGTCGAATCTGGGTCCTCTTCCCAAATTGAAGTATAGCCAGTGTGATACAGTATTTAGGGTTGTGGCTTTTAAGAGTTGATGTGGTCCAAGGGCCCCTTTCTCATTGATGGTATTAAGACCCTTATGCAAGAGGCTTCATGCTACATTTGGCTAGCTTGCCCTTCTGCTCTCTACCATGCGAGGGCTTGGCAAGAAGGCTCTTATCGCACCTTAGGCTTCCCAACCTCCAGAACTGGGGAGAATGAGTCTTAGTTCTTCATTGATCACCCAGTATCAGGTGTTGTAGTATAGTAGCACAGAACAGACTGGGACAGGTGCTAGGGTGGCAGAATGTTTCGGGTAAGCCTTGAAGCACTCGGCAGTATTTTGAGAGATGGAAAAGGAGGATTAAACCAGGTGATAAAAATGGTATAAAGAAGGATTAATTATTCAACAACAACAAAATGCAAAGGCATGTTTGGACAATTCCTTAATAGTCAGTTTGCAACAAGCATGGAACACATAGGGAATAAACTGTTGGAAGGCTAGGTTGAGATTATTTTTAATGCAGTCACAATTCTAGAAACTTAAAAATCCTGATCGAGGAGTTGATATCCAGCATGTTATTTTGGCTACCAGGGCTCATTCCCCTTGCAGGAATACTGTGGCCGAGATGAATTTTGTTTTTCTTCATCCTCTGACCTTTCCAAGAAGTGAGTTCTCATGTTTGTCTCCAGCAGTGGTGGCAGCCAGTCCAGGTTAGGGGTTCACATCCTTGAAATGAGCAGCTTTGTTGTGAGCTCTTTCACTAGAGGATCTGACACTATAGGGACCTCCTGCCAAAAGCCAGTCTAGCGCATGGTATCTGCTGAATGCTGTGCTTGGGATGAATCCCAAGTTCAGGAGGGGGAGGAGGGCGGGGAATTCCTTTCTGACCTTAGGACACAATCAACTGGAATTTAATTACCCTTATTGTTATCTTAGCTTGCATAGCTGCAACTGTGACTCATAGTTATAAAATTATCCGGTCCTTTAAAATCTATCCACAGCCTGCAGCCTGATGAACTGACAGTGATTTATAGGGAAGGGTGGGAGCTGGGGAAATCCTTTTGCCTCCCTTCGGACCTGCCAACTTGGCTCTGAACCCATAAGAATGTTTTGTTCAGAGACTATACATCCCTACACCCTCTGCCCTCTCTCTCACCTTCCCCTCTGTCCCGCTTTGCATGTCTGTGTGGTGATCATATGATCCATGTTTGCTGAATTAATTTTGACCCAGGTGTTGCTATGTGCTGCATTAAAAAGGATTCTTTGTGATTTATGGCTCCTTCCTTGAGCTTCTGATCATCGAATTAGTGTCTGTGAAAATCTAGCTTTGCAGTACACTTTGGGAGCAGTTTCTTCCATTGCTCCTACCAGAACATAAGCATGATTGTCTTAAACCGTTGAAAAAGTGAGAAGCTGGAAGCTTTGAAGTAAACGTCCCACAAACTAAAGGGTGTTACTTTCCAAAGCAGACCTGCCAGAGACCTACTACACAGTTTCTCACAGCTGAGCACACATGCATTGTACTTGGGTTTGGTGGAAAGGGAGGTACTCGCTTTCCCGTGGCAAGGCTCTCTGGATGTTCTTCCTCTAGCTGGCCATATACCGAGCCTGAAGAAATTGTTACTGTATTGTGTCCTGTAACATGTTTGCAGCTTTCTTCCTCCTCTTCACCAAGACCCTCTCTGATTCCTCTCCCTGGCACCCTCAGCACTCACTGCATTCAAAGGACTACATTTGGCTAGTGGTTGGCCTTGGATGTTTTTCTCTTTTGGTTGCTTGCATATGAGGAAGATGAACCGCTTCAGGCCAGTGCCTGTGGCACCAGATCATTCCCTGGCATGCTTTCAGATCTAAATCCCTCTTGAAGCACTAAGGTATTTGGAGAGACAGCGTGGTGTAATACAGTGGAACATGAGCAGAAATTCAGCAGACCTGGGTTCTAATGGTAGTGTTGCCTCATACCTCTGTGAAAACTTGAACAAATTACTCAGTCTCCCTGAGCCGCTGAGCCTGAACTCAGATTAGTTATGGCTGTTTTTGAACTGTATCTAAATGGAAAAATAAAATACATATTCCTTTGTCAATGACTTCCTTTACTCACTGTGAGATTCATTAGAGTTGTTGCAGGTAGCTATAGTCCGTTCAGTGGATTTGTGGAGTTACATTATGTAGCACAAATTAATTGTCCATTCTGCTTTGGGCATTTGTGTAATTTTGGTTATTCTGGTTAGTTTCTCTCATTTTTATAATATTTCACATATACACTCTGCTAAATAATACTACACTCTGGATGCCCCAGGAAACAGTTTGGAGAGAGATTTGCTTGCAAGAAGTTACTTCCTTTCTCCCTTCAAGATGAGTACCTACCAGCAGGTGAGGAAGGACGATTGTACAGGCAGAGAAATTGGACTGCAGTGCAGCTACACAAAAGCTTCACCCAAATTTTGGAGAATTCTGGAATTTAAATGACCTTACACAGTTGTTCTAAATCAGGAAAAGGGGTCCAGACTTTTACACATCCCTCATTGGCCAGTCATTGGGCATCGGATATAGATTAACCAAGAACTGGGGCATGCTTTTGTGAGAGATGTGTATATTTTTTTTGGCAGAGAGCAAGGGCAAAATCCATGAGCCGTCAGCTGCCAACATTCCTAGTAGCTGGTAGAATGAGTGTTTCTTTACAAATATCTCTAAAGAGTATGTGGGGGAGGGGATGAATCTGGTACAGTGTCTGCTACATGTCATTAGTAATTTTTAGGAATTGAATTACTGGCTCATAGGATATAGATATATTCATTTTAGTAGAAACTGTCAAACCATATTCCAAAGCATTTGTATCCAAATATCTTAATTTAGATTGTGATATCCTTAGGTGGACTATTTCATATTATTTATAAGTATATGAAGCAAATGTGAGACTGTTTCATATATTAACTAATACTTTCTGTATCATGAAAACAATAAAATTGAGAATTACTGAAATAGGCTATTTATCATGCTCTAACTTAGGGCTAGACATTGTGAAAGCTGTCAACATTGTCCAGATTGTTCTCATGTCTTGTTATGGAATTACTAGATCTTAAAGGCTTGCTATTGTACCAAGAAAAGAAAGGAAATAAGGTTTATAAATTGACTGTTGCTTCAAATTCCATTTTTTTTTCAGAGTGGCCAAATCAATGAAGGTCCCTGTATATGAGACTCCAGCTGGATGGAGATTCTTCTCTAATCTGATGGACTCAGGACGGTGCTCTCTGTGTGGAGAAGAGAGTTTTGGCACTGGTATGCTTTGTTGGGTTGATATTACTGGGTCTATGTATGTGTGTGTGGGTAGAGGTGGCTGTATTTCTCAGTGATCCCAGTTTGGAGACCTGTGAACCTCATTGAATCAAAGGCTGAAGGAAAAGTAAAAAAAAAAAAAAAAATCAGAGACACCCAGCAGGATATGTACCATGATTTACCTGTCTCTTTGGTCATTTTTTTCCTCTTTGAAAAATTTCCTTTCTTTAATCTACAAAAGTATAGAAAATATAATATTGAAACCCCATGTGCCTATCAGCCAGTTTCAGCTATCATCAATTCATGGTCAGTCTTACTTTATCTCTACCCTCATCTACAAGGAGAGGCCTCTTCCCTGATTACTCTGAACCAACACCCTATAGCTTATTATTTTACCCCAAATATTTCAGTGTGAATCTTTAAATGTAAGGTATCTTCAAGAAAAAATATAACCAAATTACCATTGGCACACTTAAAATGTTAAAAATAACTTCCTTTTTCAGTACTTTAAAGATGATATTCTTATCTTTTCTGATTTGCATAGTTTCCATGAAGTCTGATGTAATTCTTATCTGTAGTCCTCTATAACCACCACCACCACCATCCAACCCTCGGCCTTGCTTCAGTATTTTCTTTTAACTTTTGGTTTTCACTGATTTGATTAAAGTGTGTGTGTGTGTGTGTGCATGCGCCTGCACGTGTGCATTTGGGTTCTCTTGGGTTCTTGGACCTATCGATTTGTTGTTATCATTTTTTAATTTCAGAAAACACTTAGCATTATCTTTTCCAATATTTCTTCTTCCCCATTCTCTCTTTCCCTTCTGAGACTGCATTTGCACATATTTTGGATAAGTTGTGACCATAGATATTGACTTTGAGCTCTTATATTTACTGTTCCATTTTTATTTCTTTTTCTTTTTTTTTTTTTGTGCTTCCATTTAGATAATCTCCATTGGCACCTATTTAAAACCCACTGACTATTTAACTGTGTGCGAATCTGATAATGAGCCTGTTGAAGGAATTCTGTCTCTCTGATGTTGTATGTTTTATTTCTAGAATTTTTCTTTGATTCTTTTTCTAGTTTGCCTTTCCCTGATGAGATCATCTACTTGTTTATATATGTGGTTTATTTTTCAATTAGAACTTTTAGTATATTAAATATGTTTATTCTGAATTTCCTGTCTGATAACTCTGGTTTATCTCTGACTCAGGTTCTGTGGATTGTTTTATCTCTTGACAGCGGTTTGTTTTGTCTTGCTTTTTGTATATCTCGTAACTTTTCATTGAATGCTGGATGAATGTTATGGTATGTGGATAATAAGAGTAGACAGAGACTCAGGTAAACAGTATTTATATACAGAAATGGGGATAACTCTTCTTTCAGGCCTTTGGTGTTGTAGTTTAATCTTTTCAGGAGTTAAGCTGGGTTTCGATTTTATTGTTTGTGCTGTAACCTTTAGTGTTCTGTAGTCTTCACATTCCTCTAACAATGGGAAACTTGTGCTGTCTGCAGAAATTGGAGTTAGGGTGCTAAACATGCTTTTAAAGTGTTTCTGTTTCATCTCAGCTTTCAGCAATTGCTGCCTGTTTATGACACAAAGTAGAGCTGTTACCAGGCTCCTAAAATGTGTCCAGTGGCGGTGACTGCTGCTCAGCATTGGTGTAGGATTCTGAACTCAGCAAGGCTTCCTACCTTTCCCCGGGGGCAGAGGGTTTTCACTTCTGCCCCTCTTCTGGTAGCACTGATCTTTGCCTGTACTCTTGGGATGAGGCAGTTTTCATTCTGTACACTCGGGAACGTAAAGCCTGTGTTTTGGGATTTTTTGTTTTGTTTTGCTGTTAGAGAAGGGTTTGTAGAAGTGTGAGGGCTTGCTGATCTCTCTGCAGAGCGGATCGTCTCCTTCATTCCTGCACTGTCAAGTCTCCCTTTCTGTTCCTTATTTCCCTGTGAGCATCCAATAGAGGTCTGTGGGAAAAAAAGTTGGAAGTATGTCCCATTTACCTGGGAATCCAAGTGATCTTGAACCAACATGGTAGGTTATTCTTGATCTCTGGAATTCCCTAAATGGTTACATGATTTGTTATTATCTGCTTGTATAGCTTGTTCTTTCTCCAGAGCTCTGCCAAAGAGGAGAAAGTATTTATGGAATAGCTTGTTACTCTCCCCCCTTCCTTCCGTCTGTCCGTCCATCCATCCTTCCTTCCTTCCTCTGTCTCCTCTCTCTCTCTTTCTCTCTTTTATAGTCTTGTCACACTTCAAGAAAAAGTATTTTGTAGATTCCCTTGTCTTTTTTGTTGCTAAGAGTGCAAGGATATCTCTTGCAAATTTTCCTATCCTAAACAGAAGTACAGAAGGGAACTCCAGAAGTAATTTCTCAAAAATGCCCTGTGTCCTCATCCTTCCCACTTTTACATTTTGTTCCAATTAGGAGCCAAAAGATCTTACACTGTAATTGATTAATATGTATCTTAATTCTCTTTTAATCTGCATTTCTCCCCTCTGTCTTTTCCCTTTTTAATGTATTCATTGAAGAAATTGATTGTATGTCCTATAGAGTTTTGGATGCCTTTGATTTTGATATTGCTTTCCTCAGATTTTCCTAATTTTTAGTGCTTACACTGTTGATTAATATGCTTTTTCTCTGATGTGCAACTCTTAGCAAATTCTGTTATTAATTATAGTATTTTATTTTCTAAAATCTCTACATACTCTGGGATATTTTTGAGTATTCAGTCATATAACCTAAGACTGAATTTTTTCTGTATTTCATTTTGTAATATTTATATCCTTTATTTCATTTTCATATCTTACTGTATTATACAATCCTAAAAATAATATTAAATAATAATTGTGATAGTTCATAATTTTAGTGAAAATGGATATAGTATTTTGCATCCATTTTGATAATTGCTTGTTAATATTGATGAAATCTTCATCATGTTTATATAATTTCCTCTGTTCCCATTTTACTTGGAGCCCTATTAGAAATGGATGCTTAATTCAATAGCTACTCTGTTAGAATCTAATGATATAGTAATATTTTTTCTTTAATTATGTGAATGTAATAAAAATTATTAGTTTTCATATATCAGACTACACTTGAATTCCTGAGAATAAATCCTATTTGGTCATGCTTAAACTGCAGTAAAACTACTCAGTAGTTATACTGACAATGTGTCAGGCCATATTGGGGTGTGAGGGAATTTCTTCCTGAGATATTTTTTCTCTTACCAAAACCAGTTAGACCTTAACAGTACTACCATGAGTAGTAGGGATGGCATGCATCTTTGTTTGGTCAGACAAAATCAGACCATATCCAGTTCTCTACTGTGCTACTGTCTGAACCCGGGATACAGAGATGGCAGCTGTCCAGGGCTGTTTTGTTCTGTTGTAACAAAATATTAGAGGGTTTTATTTGGCTCATGATTCTGATGGCTGAGACGTCCAAACAGAGTGGCCCTGGTATCTGATTAGGGCCTACTGGCTGTGTTGTTAACAAGGTGGAGAAAAGGAAAAGGAAACAGCCGAGTGCAGAAGGGATAAGTATGTGAGAGAGGAAGCAAGTGGTGCAGGGAGAAGCCCAGCTCACTATTTTCTTTTTCAAAAATTTTATTTATTTCTTTGAGAGGTAGAGTTATAGCCAGAGAGAGGGGGAGACAGAAAGAAAGGTCTTCCATCTGCTGGTTCACTCCCCAAATGGCCACAATGGCCAGAGCTGAGCCAATCCATTGCTAGGAGCCATCATCCACTGCTTTCCCAAGCCATAAGCACAGAGTTGGATTGGAAGAGGAATAGCTGGATCACGAACTGGTGCCCATATGAGTTGCTGGCACCACAGCTGGAAGCTTAGCCAACTATGCCACAGCGCCAGCCTCTGGCTTACTCTTTTCTCACAACCCACCATCTCAGGAACTAACACCGTTTTCCAAAATTGCATTAATTCCTTCTGAGGGTGGTGCCCCCATTTTAAAGGCCATGCCACCTCTGTACTGTTACTCTGGGGACCGAGTTTCTACCACCTGATCATTTGAAGGACATGCAGACTATATCCCAACCATAGCTGCAGCTATGCTAGAAACAATCAAAACTATTACACTCTTTGTCTGCTGAGCCCCTAACAAATAGACCAGTTTCCTTCTTCCTTGATCATCTGTATGCTTGAAGTGACTGTGACTCAAGAAAAAAATCAGAAACTACTTATCATATACAATAATTCTACCCACTGATTAGTAAACTTACACAAATTTTGTAACTGGGTTAGAAACTGCCAAGTTCAGGTTATCCATCCCTCTTTGTCTTCATAAGCGTTATTGAGTTACTTATTTTCACTACACTATATACTCTGTGGTCTCTCTAATTAAAGGGATAAAATACTGCCCATGTAAGCCATGTTACACCATAAGTAACAAATATTTGCTCATTTCAATGTAATTAACTTTCATTGCTTACAAAATATAAGGCACTGTATTGGATGGCATGTTGAATACAGAATGCTTAAGACCACACCCTTAAGATATAAGAAAGATGCCTAAATGACTGTTGTACAAGCCAGAAACCCTAACATGCCACACAAGAGGAGGAGAAAATATGCTATGGGAGATGAGAAAAAGAAAAATTCTCCTTTAAAGCAGACTTGCTGAAAGAGATGGAAGTTAACCTAGGGCTTAGGAGCAGGGAGAGTTTGTACACACAGCAATGAAAGGGCAAGCCTTACCAAACTGGGGGATTCGTAGTCAAGGAAGGTATAGAAGTAGAAGTGACCATGTATTGTCAGTAATATTTGCTTCACTTTTTAAAAACAGTGTTTTCACAAATGCGAATCAAGATTATTTGGGGATCATCATATTAGCTTTAAATAAATAGAATATGATAGAAATTATCAAGTGTGTTGTAATTAGTAAAGATATTGTTTTGCAAATTGTATATATATACATATTACACAAATAAAGTATATTGTATATAAATGTGCCACTAATAGTATGAACAGACATAAAAATGTGGA